AGATCTTTTTGTGAATTTTTTTGCAATAATAATTTTACAAAAAAAAATTTGCAAATTTATTTGCGAAAAATAATTTACAGAAATTTCTTACAAATTTTTTCATGAAAAATAATCGACAAATTATTTTTGCAAATTCTGCCACAATTTTAATGATCATAAAAAAAAATTCCATGTTAAAAATTTGCAAAAAAAATGTTGTACGAATTTTATCTTGTTTCTTGTGGATTTTCTTGTAAAAATAAATTTGCAAATAATGTTTACTAAAATGGTAGAAAAATTTCACAGGTAACTTTTTGCAGATTTTCCTGTCAATTTTAATCCGCAGGAAAAATAATATATATATATATATATATATATATATATATATATTTAAGTTTAAGAATTAAAAGATTTTTCTCAAGTCGTACATCGATTAGAAATAAAGAAATTAAAGAGTATATAAGTTAGGACAACACTCACCTTACAAGTTGATTTTCTATGGTTGAGTGTTAGACGTATAATTTACATGTTTCAGATGAATTCATTGTAAGCATTTGAAAGTTGAAGAATTATCAATAGAAATTGTACAAAAATTACCTTTGAATAATAATTTATTTGATTTTTTTCTTGCAAAAAATTTCACAGGAAATTTTCCTGTGAATTCTTTTCACAGAAAAACTTTCCTACAAATGTTTTTCGCAGGAAAATCTTTTGTCAATTTGAAAATTCACAAAAATATATTATCCACGAAGGTATTACCTAGAAATAAAATTTCGCAGAAAAATTTATAAGAACAAAAATTCGTAGAAAAAATCGCATGTAATAAGAGAAATTCTAGTAAAGTTGCTGGAAATGTCCAATAATTAATCAAATATATACCATTCAAGAGAAGATAAATAAATTTAAAAGTGGATAATTAATCATTTTCAAAGTGAGAGTTTGTATCGAATTCTTCATAGCAACTATATAAAGTATTTGAAAGAATAAAATTTATGTAGATATCGGACACATGCATGCTGTACCTGTAACCTATTAATGTAAACTAATAATAAATGATATAAAACGATGAGAGTCTGGAATTTGGTAGTGTCTGGGAGAAATTGGCCAATGAAATGCATGGTGGAGATATGGTGATGGGAATGAGATACAGCACTTATAGTGGTTCGGTTAGTAAGGGACAGCCAACGAGAACTTTGGCCTCAAATCTTTCTGCTTCCAAATTTCCATTCACTTAATTTTGTATGTCAAGCTGTGACACATTAATTTGTGAATATGCATAAGTTTAATTTTTCACAAAAGCATATTTTGCCTTTTCTTTAATACTTCTTTAAGTCAAAGATATGCAAAGCAGAAGTATATATATATACACTGTATTATTAATTGGTGGCAAAGGCACAACCCCAATGTTCACGTTGATGGCACGCTGCATGCAGTGCATCGTTTTGCATAGTTTGCTTTTAATTCATGACAAGTTTACATCCTTCTATTTACCAATGTAACTCTTTCTTTTGGCCAACATCCATAAGTTAAATCACGTAAGTTAAGCATCGTTAAATGTATAGTATAAACAAATAACGTGGGAGCGCAGACAAATGAAGTGTGGACGTGTAATTCAGTCCATTGTGAAATAAAATTTTGACATTCAACCCCATCTTCTTTCGGCTTTCTCCTTAGCTTTCAACTCATGTTTATATATATATAATTAGCAATTAGGTATACACCGCACCATAAGTTTTAATTTCCTTCACAAGTGGAGATGAGCGTACCATAATTAATAGTAGGTTTAATACATATTTGATCTTGAAGTTTTTTAAAATTTTCAATCTAGTCTTTAATTTATAAATTAATTGTAATCAGGTTCTTCATCTTTTTTAGCGAGTGCTCTGGTGAGAGGGATTAGGGTCCTTCTCATTCCAACATCGGTGGTGTGGAGCACTTGCAAGAAGACTCTAATGCTCAATTTAGAGGACAGTTTTAAAGGTAGAATATAAGTTAGAATTAGCTTAATACTTGGTGCCACATAGTGCTTAAATCTTATCATTAAACCTGAAATTAGTTATTTAAATAAAGAGATATATCTAATCAGTTAGTCATGAGATATTGCCTAATTGATCGGGAGATCCTTTTATCAATTAGGCGAAGATTATATGTGTTTTATTTATGATAATTCGAGACTTTGGGATATGATCATGTGAATATATTTCATCTAGTTGTTAGGAGTTAATAACTTAAGGTTTTGCATTATAGTAAGAGCATCCAATGGCCTTGATTAGGACTTTAAGTATATCTATTCAATTTGCCTACTATATAAGCTATGTCTAGTCTTGAAAAATTCATTACATGTAATAAGTTCCTTATGACTTGGGTACACTAAATTTGATTAATAAGGTCTCTTCTATTTTTCTTCAACTAAGAGTTAGCATCATAAGGGATACCCATGCGATTAAGGTCATAATAATGAAAATTCTTAAGAAATTTCTCAACATAATGTGTTTGAGATAGTGTAATACTATCTTTCTTGTATGAAAAACAATCATCAAGCAAAACATGGTTAAATTTCTCATGCCATTATTTTGGTGTTTATTTTAAATTTCTCATACTATATTGAGATTTTAAGAGCTTGCATACTTTTTGCTGTTTTGACCAAGCACAACACATCTCGCAAGTCAAGTCTTATAGATATATTCCTCTAGGTCACCATTCAAAAAAGACATTCTTTACATCCATTTGGTGAATCGCTAACTTATGTATAAATACTAAAATTATCAATACTCGAATAGAGGAAATACTAGTCATAAAGAAAAAAGTGTTAAAGTAGTCCACATTCTATTTTTGAGTAAACCCATATAGCTACTAATTTAAACTTATACTTATCAATTGATCCATATGGGTTATACTTCTTCTTAAAGATCCACTTACATTTTTCTTAATGGAATCAATTTTTATCTTAATTGCTTGTTCCCAACAAGGTGCATTTGGAGAACTAATGTCTTCTAAAAACTCAGGGTCATTCTTAACAAGGTAGGTATAAAAGTCATATCTAAAATATGGCTTTTTATTTATCTTTTACTTCTCCTTAGGTCCTTAATTAGACAAAGTCTCTCAAGAGCTTTCTAAGGGTTATTCAGGAAACATCCTTACACTCTCCCTATTAATTTCTATAGTCTGTATAGATTTTAAAGGGAATACATCCTCAAAGAATTCAACATTCTTAGTCTCTACAATTATATCGATATCAAACACATTACTTTTCAAATCTAGAAACCTATAGACAACATTATATTCTGCATAACCAATAAGCATGCAATTAGAGGTCTCAGAGCCTATTTCCTTTTCCTAAGATCAATTAACATCATATTGGCTAGACATTCCCACACTCTCAAATAATTTAGGTTGGGTTGATAACCTTTCAACAATATGAGGAATCCATTTTTGTAAGAAACATGTAGTAAATTAAATGTGACTTCTACCTTAAGGTTGTTAGAAATTGAGGAACTCACTAACATGACATTCATCATTTTTTAAAGATTCTATTTATTCTGTGAACTACTTGATTGGACTCAAGTAAATAAGGTAGGGTTACTTCAAGTATAATTCCTTCTTTCTTGCAAAATTCATTGAACAAAGTGTACTCACTACCCCTATCGGATCTAACCCTTTTAATTTTCATGTTTAGTTGATTTTCAATCTTAACTTTATATATCAAAAACATATCAAACACTCCATTTTTACTTTTAATTGTATATACTTTTGTTTATCTAGAAAAATCATCTATAAGGTTATTAAGTAACTTTATATACTACTATTACGGTCAAACCAGTGAAACTACCGATATGGGACTTCAAACCTTTTGAAATACCCACAAAACACAACAATTTTCGGCTTATATTCACCCATAATCTTAACAACATTAAACCGTGTTTACGTGCAAAAATCTCTCACTCCCACACCCTACTCACACTTGTTGAGCGTTGTGATGGGCAAGGCATTAATCGAACTTATTGTCCTCTATTTCTATTTTGCATCACTAAGCTTACTTATCTCTTAAAAAAAATCAGTATCAAGTTTTGAACGAGAATGGTTTAGAAAAGCTAAAACAATTAATTACTATGAGGATAGATATGTATTCAGTATTCTCGATGCAATTTGCTTCCACTTTGTTGATCTATATATGTTTCTCATGAATATGTTGAATAGGTTGTTCACATTTATAGATCAATATCTATATTATATTTGGTATTAGAGTAATTTTTAAATTTAGTGTTTAAAATTTGATACTAAAAATTAAAACCACAAAAAAATTAAAACTGATCTCAGTTTAAAATTTTTTTTGAAAACTTAAAGCAGGCGACGAAACCATAAAATCCTAAAACAATTAGGTTTATTTTATATATGAGTTAATCATCTATATATTGTTAATGTAAAGTTTTTGTACATTGACAACCAGTCATATTTTTTAATAGTGACATGTCAGTTGCTTATTTAATAAAATAATAATAAAATAAGTAACTTTAAAAAATATGATTAATTGCAAGTGTAAAAAAACTTTACATTGACAGTGTATAAGTGATTAATTTTTTATATATACTCCTATAAGTTTTTGACATATTATAAACGACGTGGCATAGGGCAAAGTCCCAATATTTGGCTGGTAGAAAAAGGAAGAGAGAGTGATGGTAGAAAACCACCAATGAACTTGCATGACAATTGGCTGGGAAATATTTGGATACTACATAATGTCCCAATACTCTTGAAGGTTTTATTAGATCCTTCCTTCATTAGTGAATGGATTTCACTAATGGTTTTAATATGGCAACACTTGTTTATCTTTTCCTCCATAAAAAATCAAGTAACAAAGGAGACAAGAAATAAAAAATTATGGTTGGGAAGAGGGATGATAAAAAGACAACGTAGAGAAATCAAGATGTTGCTAAAGTCACTGTTTGGGAACTTGAACCACTAATTAGCAACTCTATTTAAACTTTAAAGCTTTTCGCAGCTCAGCACTTGCTGGACTTGGCTTAATTGTGGGATCCGCGCACACTATATTCTTGGCTCTGCAATCTTGCAAACTTTCTATAATTTTTTCTTGGAGGATCTCCAAACCTGATTCACCAAAATGAAGGTAAGAAAAAACTTGCTTTCTCTTGTGTTTTAACATTATTATTCATTTCCAATTAGCATGCATGTTTAAGCAAGGTTATTTATCTCTCCCTTGGCAGATTTTTGAATGGATGCAAAACAGGATCAATGGAACCAATGGAAAAAGGAAACAAACTAGCTCGATTTCAACCAGCCGTAAGCATTTTTTTTCTCTTTGTTTTCATCGTTCTTCAATTAGAGCATCATATTTGCCACAGTTTTTACATGGCTTTGTATACTCAAGTCTGATTATGACGTTGGCTAGCTATGAGTTTTGTTTCTAGATGTACATAATGATAAAACACTATTATGTACAGAGTTAATAAGAACACAATAATGCTCACGACTAAGAACAACAAAACATTATTCACAGAATTAAGGTTTGGTGGTGTCTACTGTGTGATGGCTAACCTTGCTCATTTCTACAGGAAAAGAAACATGCCACTTGATCTTAATTAGGTAGAGTGAGTGGTTATATAGCCTGCAATTATTATACCCTTCAATAAAAATAAGGGTACAAGAAAAAAGAAAAACAGTTAGATGAAACATAATTCAGTTCATATAATTATAAACCAACTAGCTTCAAATGTTTGTCCATGTTTGCTATTTTATATTGGAGCAAAGTGAGTTTGATGATTGATTTTTCTTGCATCAGATTACATGAGGCAGGAACCTAGCAAACAAGAGTTCAGTGACTGGCCTCAAGCACTCCTTGCAATTGGAACATTTGGGGGTAACAACTTGAAAGAAGATTCGGGTGGAAGGAGTAACAACAACACTGCAGAGGATTCATCTTCCTTTCAGGATTGCAAGCAAGAGGTCACGCTTGAAGATGTTGGAAATCTTCAGAATGAGTTCAGCATATTTTTCAAGGGGCCAAATTTGGCAGGTGAACAAGAAGAACAGACCAATGATCTCATCAAGGAACGTTTGAACCCTGAAGGTAAAGAAAATGAGTCTCCTTGTGATGGCTCCAATGTCAACCGTGGTAGTTTCTACCCAAGCAATAGTCTAATATATAGCAGGGGGGAAGATTGTTACTTGGATCATAACAATAAGAGAGGTGTTAGCAAGAAATCACTTTCTTTTCTTCTCAAGAAGATGCTAGCTTGCAAAAGTGGATTTCAACCTACCCCTTTGTTCAAAGATCCACTTTCCACTGAGTCCAGAATTGAGAAGGTAGATGAGAAACAAGCAAATTAACTTGATTACTCCTTCAATTCTTTTCAATTACTTGCCTTACTTTTATTACCTTCTACGTGATCACAGATTTTGAGGGCCATACTTCAGAAAAAGATATATCCTCAAGGTTCATATTCAACAACACCCTTTATAAAGAAGTACCTTGAAACCACCTCAATTCCTCGGTTTGATGATGACGAGGAGGAGGAGGATGGAGATGAAGAGGAACTTGATACAGCTGCAGAAAATGGAAGTAAATGGGTCAAGACTGATTCTGAATGTAAGTTGACTAATTTAGAGCATATTTAAATACAAATTTAAAAGTGTTTTTGAAAGTTTCTTAAAAAAAAATAAAAGTCTATTAAGAAATTCTCCGAAACTCTTTTAAATTTGTATCTAACGTATTCTTATTTATCCTTTATGGTGTATTAATCACATACACTAGCTTGACTTGGTGCTTAAATTCATGTAATCTTGTCTGAGTTATTAAGTTATTCCTTATAGAGTGAGATGATGCGTTGGAACAAAATGAATTTCAGTTATTTTGACAATATATATCCATGTTTTTTGTTAACAGATATCGTTCTTGAGATATGATTGGCTTCTCCTGTATTACTCTGGCTGTATATGCTCAACTCTGCACATGAAGCTAGTAGCATAAAAAGGAGATGAAGTGTGTACCTACTATTTTTATGAATCACGCCAAGGAAAAGGTGACAAACTGGAAGAAGAATCGGAAAAAAAGTTTATATTTTAAAACATTGTAGCCCATGAATGTGAGAGAACATAATCCAGTTTCTTACGGGAGATCTTAACTTCTATATTGTAATAAAAGTGTGATTAATTCAACAATATAACAAACTTTCTTCTTTTCTTTTCAAGCTTCGAAGGTTTACGCTTTTTTTTTTTTTTTTTTTTTTTTTTTAAAGCCTCGTTGACAGGAAATTATTACATGATTGGGATCATATGTCCATTATCTCAGAAATGCAAAAAAAAAAAAAAAAAAAAAAAAAAAAAAAAAAAAAAAATTGACAGAAGAAAATATAACATTTTAAATTTACATAATTAAACCAAAATATAAAATATATAAACATGATTAAAAAAAAGACAATATATATTATAATGAAAAGAGGATTTATTTCTTATTGTCTAAAGTGTTCGCGTCTTTTGCATTTTGAATATATTTTTAAAGATTTTATTAATTAATCTTGCAATAATATAGGCTAAAAAGATAATATGATGAGATTGAATTAAAATTTATAAGAAGAAATCATCGTTAATATAATTTTATAAAACTTTTATTTTTCTTTTAACTAATAATTTAAACGTATAACATTATTTTAATAATATATCTTGAACAAGGTAAACAATAAACTAGGAGTAGTTTTTTTTTTTTTTAATTTTATTTTTCTTACAACGAAGTAGGTGTAGCTTATAGAGTTGTCCTTCCGTATATTCATGTATTGAACTTTGGATAAAATGAAAACATCACGCTCTGAACACGAGTTTTGAAAGAATTTTATTATTGAATAGCATGTTAAAACAAAACCAAAAATAAAATAAATAAGAAATTAATATCGATGAATAGTTAAAATTATAAAATCAGTAGATACACATTTTGAAAAGAATATTGATATATATATATATATATATATATATATATAAATAAAGTGAAAATAAAATATTTTCTTTATATAATTATAGATTACAGACGATGATGTTAGTGTTTATGAGTTATTGAAAATGTCGCTTGTAGCATATCATTGTGGATTCACATTTTTTTTAACTTTAAGATATGAAACTTACAGTAATTTAATACATTTAAATTGTTAAATTTATAAAAACAAATCAAATTGTGACACATGTTTAATATATATGTTGACTTAAATATACACGTGTCAGTATCACAATCTGATCTATTATTACAAATTCAATAATTTAAATGTATTAAATTAGCAAACGATTGCTACGGTGCACAAATTTAACATGGTCATTGGTGGAGAAGTAAATATTTTTAACTTTTTATTTAAATTGTTTGAAATTATTGGAAAGTATTTTTTGTAATTTAGCCTTCCTCCACTACTGACACGATAAGATCTAGAGTCTTCCACTCGTCACGATCTTTAAGATCGTTTCTATTTTCTCCCTCATGACTTCCTTCATCTACTTTCTCAACTTCTTTGACATTGACTTGATACAATCCTTCATCTCAAAGCTTGGGACCTCAACGATGTCAATCCAAACCCTTCCCGAACCTTTGATTGCCTCTGAGGTTTAAGGTGTGCGTGTGCGCATGTGCGTGTGCGTGCGTGTGCGTATGCGTGTGCGTGTGCGTGTGCGTGTGCGTGTGTGTGTGTCGTGTGCGTGTGCGTGTGTGTGTATATATCCACAAAATGGATACTCACACCAAAAAGAAATATCCACAAAATGGGTACTCACACAAAAAAAATTGAATGATAGAGGGCTACTTCCTATTCCGCCTTGTTGTCACCCTTATGAGCATATCCAATGAGAATATATAATATTACAATAAATGAAAAGGCTAAATAATAGTCTTTAGATTATAGATAAAATAAAAATAAAAATGTTTCATATTAAAACTTAGTTACAGACACAAACCCATAAAATCATTACTACTATCACCTTCACGATTATCATTGTCACTAACATCCACTATCACTATTGTTGTTGTCACCGCCACAACAATGGTGGAGATAGTAACGATAACGGTAACAATGGTAGCAACAGTAGGGGTGATAGTGGTGTTGACCGTGACGACAATGCCACCACTATTGTTTGTCATTATCATCATTATGACACCCTTTACCTTGTACATCAATACTCATAAATAATTAATAATAAAACTCTGATTGAACTAAAGAAAACTTCAATATAAGAGAAAAGTCATTCGTAAAACACCTTTAAATATAGAAGTCATATCTGTTTAAACTTGAAAACAAATAGTTAAACGAAAGAGATGTGAAATTTAACAAATAACTTCATGGTTAATAATAAATTATTACAACTCTAACACAATTAACATAATCCATAAACATAACAAGCAACTTTAAGAAATATAAGATCTTAATCTAAGAAATCCAATATCACATCCTATCAAACATTAACCCACAACATATTACAAGGCTCATGCCTTGTCACTAACATCACCATTGTGGTGATCTTCACCTACAAATTACACATAAACACAATAACAACAAATGGAAGTGAGAAATATCTCACTTTGGCTATGTGAGATATAGTTAGGTAGCCACACACATCAAACATATCATAAGTGCACTACACATAACAGTGATATTAAGAATATAAATGGAACAATATAACCTCAATTAATAGCAATTTAACTCGTCAACACAAGCACACACACTCACAGCTCATACACTCAATGTAATTGACAAAGAATCATCTAAATTTAAGGTTGGCAATGGTAGGGTCCTATAGTACTTGTCCCCATACTATGTTTAAAAATAATATCTAGCCCTGACTGTCGCAACCCAAAAATTTCCGATCTCGCGACCTATGATTTAGACATCCTTTTAAAGATCTCATCAATTAAGGAATGCCTGGACACCAGACTAATCCTTAATTAATGGTTTTAAAAATAGGTTCATGGAGTCGCCACCAATATTTTACTCAAAACATTGGAAAAAGAAAAGGTTTTTAAAGATCCAATAATGACCTTGATAACCAGAATTGGGTTCGGGGGTCGGTTACGTGTAAGGAAGGTATTAAGCACCCCTACAGCGCCCTTAATTGGTACCCTATGATGAAGTTAGCATTATAAACGATAATAATAAAAATATTAAATCTCCTTTTTATTAATAACTATTTACATGCCTGAAATTTAAATTATACAATTAACCCTAAAATGTCTACATGATTGATTTTATTATGAACAATATTTATCAAAGATAAGGGATAAAAGAGAGAGAAGAAAATTAACTGAAAATACCTCTTGAACGAGCTCTATTAATCTTCAAATATAGAGATTTAGGTGCTTTGTGGCAACCTTTCACACTACAATGAGCCTCACAAAACTCAAGAAATACAAAAGAGAGAGGGAGAGAGAAAAAGAGAGAAATTTCGAGCTCTAAGGAGTCTAGACGAAATTTTGGAGTCCCCTAGAACTGTGGCCGAGATTTCTATTTATAGGCATCAGACATGGGCCGGAACGGCCAGTTCTGGATTCGAAACGGCCCGTTCCGGATCCGAACGTTATGCATTATATTTGTACCCTAGAACGGCCCGTTCCGAAAACCAGAACGGCCCGTTCTGATTTCAGAATAGCCCGTTCCGGGGTATAAATTTTAGCCCCTTTGATTGGTTTGGAACGGCCCGTTTTGGTCTGGAACGGCCCGTTCCAACCTACAATTTTATGCCTTCTTAGGAGTCTCGGAACGACTCGTTCCAATTCAAGAACGGCCCATTCCGGACTTGGGAATGGCCCGTTCTAAATTTGGAACAGACCGTTTCGGTCCACTAAAAATAGTTGATTTGGGCTTTTGGACCCTCTGATGTCCTATCTTGTTTGTATACCCCGGGACGAAATTGGGTGTCTACACTGACCCCACACCTGTGCAAGTAAAATTTTGATCCTCATTCCCATACTCTCTAGGTGTCTTAATACTCATACGCGCACCTACAACCCACATGTGAGGTTGATAATAATATGGAGAAAACATTTAGATCCCTTAAATTTTACCTCCCATACAAATAAACACTACAAACTCTAAATTTAGGATAAAACACCATTTAGGTCCCTAAAAGTGTATGTTGCTGACATTTTAGCCCCTAAAACTAAGAAAAGTCTAAATAAATCCTTAAAAGTTTTAGTTATTTCATTTAAGTTCCAGAAAATAACTATTTATCGTCATTTTAGTTCTTGAACATACGTTGATATTACCATTTTAGCCACATGCTAAAGTGAGTAATGTTTTAAATATTCTAGAACTTTATTTTTAATTTTTTATACTTTCAAGAACCAAAGTTCCAACAATATAACTTTTAAGGATCCGAATGATGTTTTATCCTTAATTTTATCCCAATTTATCCTTAAACATTATCCTCATAGAGAAATAGGCACCATAAACATTAATTTTTGTTATAATTGATCCTTAAATTTTACTATTTTTTTTCTTCAAAATAATACCTTGATTTTAATTTTATCTTAATTAATTCTCAAAATTTATTTATTTTATAAATAATCTCTTATATTATATTAGAATTAAATTACTAAGAAAAAAAAAGAAATATTTATTTATTTTAAATCACACTTATTTATTAGGTTTTTTTTTACATATATTAGTTTTATTTTCATATATCATTTTTCTATATATTAAAACATCATAAAATTTAGAATTAAAAAAATCAAATATAGAATTTTTTAATTTATTATTATTATTTTCTTCTTTTTCTTTCTTTGTAAACTCATATTTTTATTATATTTCAAAAATAATTGTAACAAAATGAATTATTGATATTTAAGATAAATAGTTTATCTATAAATTGATGATAAAAATTTGTTTATATAAAAGATAAAATTTAAATGTCAATTATAATGAAAGTAAAGTTGATGGTGTTTATTTGCAAGAAAAAGTAAAGTATATTGATTAATTGGAGCGAAATTAAAGTTTATGGTATCTGTTCCGGCCAAAGGGTGGACTAGGGTTTCTGCCTAGGTCAAGCCTCAAGTCAGAGCATTCAAAAGTGTAATCTGCCTTCTTAACTCTAGGATTTTTAGTTTTATAGTTTCTTGTTTACGGGCCTCATGGGCCCCGAGAATATAGGGATTTCCTTAACCGTTCTAATCTGGAAAATATTT